GCCTTTAACCATGTCTGGGCTCCTGGCATGAAAAGCTTATCTATGCTCTGGTGATTCTTGGCTGTGGAAACAGCCCCTGGGCCTCTGGAAATGCTGCTCTGTGAGAAGAACATTAAAGGACCAAGCACATGTTCTGAAGCCATCCATATTGCCCCTTTTACCAGACCTATAGACTTCACCAGGGGCAGAGCCTGATCTTAGGCACTTTACATTAAGACTTTACAATTTTTAAAATCTGTATTCAAAAGCACCTATTTTTTATTGAAGTTTTTTTTACCATGGTGGCTTATTGTTTAACTATATTGCAATAGTGAGGAAAAACTTTAAGTTCAAGCAGCATGTGATCAGTCTTAGGTAAGGGCCTAAATTCTTAACATTTTCCTACATCATAGGAAAACATTATATAACCAAGCAGAGTTAATTCAACTCCATGTGCTGAAAATCTACATTATATTGAGATTCCTTTTATTTGCAATTCATACTGAATTCTATTGCTGTGCAAGCGAAACAGAAATTACAGACACTGTTGATGAACCACCAATTTCAGTGAATGAGATACTGAAGAACTGCTTTCCAGCATATACTGTTGCCAACTTCCTGGGAAAATCTGGATAAAAATAATACCAGGCTGTCAAACCGCTCCAGTTTGTGAGTAAAAGAATTCTCATTAATATTCAGGACCATGGCTAAAATGTAAATTGTTTTTCGATGCTATATTTTCACTAAGACAAAATATACTACATCATACTTACATAAAATACCAAGATTTTAAATACCAGTTTGGCTCAGCTTGCAGTAAAAAGAGCAATGAAGATGAGAACATCAAAGAACCTTTTACAGGAAAATTCAGGAAAATTACTAGACTCAGCTGGAGGAACAAGGACTGAATAAAAAGATGATGGAAGGACATCTGAACAAACTAAATATATACATATCCTCAGCTTAGGGGGAGATGCAGTTTTAAAAAAATTAATGAAGAAATTCAGAGACCTCTGAAAATAAAGCTAAATTTTAAGCTGGGGAAGATGTGTAGAAACAGAAAGACAGAAAAGTGCTGTATTTCAGAAGAGCAAAATAAATAGCAAGTTAGCCAGAATTTTTTGCCACTCTGATTCAAACATACAAGACGACAGTCTGCTCCAGATCTTCAAAGAAATGGATGTGTCTGCCTCCATTTCAGGCCTGAGGACACCTCTCAAGGTGTAGATCTGTGAGATGATGAAGAATGAGCAAATTAAATCATCAAGAAATGGGTATGATGATTTTTTTTTCCTAAAGCTTTTTAATATCTGGGCAAGCTACTAATTTTGGGTAAGAAAATACCAGAGTTAGTTTCAGCCTGACTTCTGTGCAATGCCATATATTAAACTGCCTGTGAGAAGCACTGAAAACTGCGAAGTACCTGTAACTGAGCAGCCTACTTGTTATTGTTACTGCCTGCTCAGAGAGCACTGTGCCACAAACGTGTTGAGACACGATGGATCAAGGGGACATTTTTTAACACCTACTTGCCAGAAAGGTTGTCCTTCTCTTTCTCAACCAAGCAGCAAAAGTTGCTCATCTGACAGTCCCCAGTTTAAATGAGCCCATTGCTACCACGGAAGAACTGGAGCCACTGGTCTGAATACTTTAGTTGCATTAAAAGGCAGAAACTCAACTGAACTGGTGAGAGATTTCTAAAGGAAGATACATGTTCCTGATGTTATCGTGCCAAAAAGAATGATGGACAGCAGAAATAATAAAGACTGAGAAATTACTCATTTATGAACAGGGATTGGACATGGATGTATATTGTTAAAAAAGGAATAATCAGAAGGGTCCAAGGCTATAAATCCCAGAAAACACCAATAAAAAGGAAAAAAAGAAAAAAAAAAGAAAAAAAAAAGTATTAATCATTAGGCTCATTTGACAGGACAAGGTGCAATCTTTGGGAGCTGCAAGTTGCCCAAAAAATACAGAAAATTTTTATTCTACTTTGTGAATAGCAAGGCAATGGAAAATTTTTGTAAGCTGCTGGACTTTGATGATTTTTCAAAGCTGTACTGAAAAGCAAGCTTTTGGCTCCCAGTTGAAAGACTTGTTTTAAATACAAAGAACAATGGTTCAGGCTGCCACAAGCTTTTTTTTTTTATTTTTGGCTGAAGGAAAAACAGAGGTCAAATGCACGCAGTTGCCAACATGTTTCATCAAGATGTAATTTTGAAATAGTTGGTGGCATAAGAGCTGCCAGAGCATTGCTGTCCAATTCACTCCTCAAAACTTATTCTGAGGGGGTTGAAACAGCAGTTACTGAATACTAAATAGCCATTTAAAAGTGGCTCACATGAAAGTCAGATATTTAGCGCATTTTCTTCCATTTCTTACTCTCTCCTTTTATGTATGGGAAATTAATGGAAGAGTGTCAGACAGTGGGTACTCTGAGCCAATGTAGAGAGGAATGCAAACTGCAGCAGCAAAACACACTGCCAAATGAAGACAAAAATGAACAATCACAGGCACGGCTCTCTTGCTTTTCCGATGGGTAGACTTAAACAACGGCCAATAAATCTCTGCTGTGATCAGAGATAGCACAGGAAGTGCCTAACCCCACAGTGTCACTGTTCTGGCTTTATTGTACTGTAACTGGTTCTAATTCCTGATTTAACAGCACTACAACAGCACACAGAATCAAGCCCACCAGCACTTAGTAATTCAAAGCTCAACTAAACACCACCAGTGGGAATGAGAAGGAAGTCGTCAACAGAGACTGCTGAATGCATGAGCCCCAGGTGACTTCACATCTACGGTCTATCATGCCAGTCATCAAAGCCTGGATTACACAGCCAGCTCAGGTGTGTGCTGAACTCTACTCACTCCTGCTGTTCTCTGCTCCTGTGTCTCCCACAGACTCAACAGCTGGGAGAGTGCACTGGGGAGAAGGTCCTTCACCAGTATCATTCCCCTCTGGCTTTACAACCTACAACAGCCGATTATATAATTCACAATCTTTTTTTCCCCCATTTAATTCCACTGAAAATAGCTACCCACTAGATTTTACACACAAACTGCCTTTTGCTAGGGAAATCTGTTGTTTTGTTTTTTTCTTGTCACACACAGCTTCTGCTGAGAAAATGCTAGGTTAAGCAGAGTTCCTTGGAACTGGCCAAACCAATGTGGGAGCTGTGTGTTGTTCTTCCCTCACTGTGGGGATCAGATCTCAAAGTTCACTGTGTTGGAGTTACTAGTTAATCACATGGACACTCTCAAATCCATAAATAGGCTGTAATTTAATGTACTGCATCTAGGTTTCTGCTTGTGGATTGAGCAATGTCCTTAGATTATGATATGCTGCATTCCTGTGTCCCTTCCTAAACCAGCAGATCAATCTGTTTCTTTCATCTCTTCCACAGCTACAGGACTGTTCAAAGCTGTACATGAACCATCTGGGCACTGAACATACACAGTCTGAAAAAAGAACAGCACATCTTCACTGGTGTGTGCATTTAAACTGAACATCAGTGAGTAAGTAAATGTTTTCTTGTAGATGGATTGAAACATGAGAGCAGGAGCCAATCTCTGAGCTCTTAAAATACATGTAGTTCTTCCTTCAGACCACAGGCAGTGCTGCTGGCTTCTCTCACTTGGCTTTGGGGAGCTGGGGCCATGTGTAACACAGCTGGGCATTTACCCACTGCAAGAATACTTGACACAATAGCTTTGTTTTTTTAGCACTTCACAGACATTTATAAAACTCCACTCAAACCTTGATGTTTAAGTATTTTACTCAGATTTGATTTATGCTTTGAAAAATCAGGTTTTAAAAACTGCTTCTATAACTTGATTTATCAGAAGGCAAAGGTAGGTTTTTAATGACTTCACCTGATAATGAGCACCCTTGGAAACCGTAAGACAGTGCTGAAGAAGTGTCTCAGCAGGAGTTTTCTGGAAAATGCTTGTAATAAATCATTCAATTTTGCCCACAAGCTACTGTATGCTGGGAAAAGGTTTGAAACCCTATTTCTAAAACATTTTTGAAGGCAACTGACAGTTGGAGTAATACATACAGTTAAAAAACCAGAGGCACAGTTACACCTTTGGCTGAGAAGCTCACACAAGTTGACATTTGGGCAACCACCATTAATTTACTTCCCCATTATTACTCAGTGATTTTTGACAGTTTCTGTCTGCAGAGGCTTCATACCTTTTCTCCAAATCCACATTCTCATATTCAATACTAGTAAAAGGGAATTTGGTAGAAAATGTCAGAATCCAACTTCATTGTTTACTAGAGAAAAAAATACTGGTTTTTTTAAGGTTGAACTGTGAAATCAATTCCAGCTTCTACATAAAGAGCCATTCAGAAAGTGTAACACTATTTTCCTCTCAATTAGCAATCAGTAAAATTAGACATTTCAGAGAATTGAAATACATGTCTCTAATTAGGTATAGATTTATATTAATAGGCATTTGTCCCTGAAAAGATTATTATTGTGACCCGAAGAATTTACCGATCACAAGAGATAAAGAAAGGGCATAAGAAAAAGCAGCAGAAATGTAACATCTCATTAGAGGAGTAATCATAAATGTTATCTAACCCAACTGACCTTTTACCTGTTTAGTTGTTATCAGCCAGTTCATCAGTTCATTGCTCTTATGTCACAGACTCAATGAAGGTGGGGCAAAACCACATAAGGACTCTGAACAATTTTAGGGAAGGCTCTCTGAATTATATAATCATTGCCTGGGCTCATAAAAAGCCCTGCAGGTAGAAGGGACTGAAATAAGCTACTAGTCAGAGATGAGGAAGTCACAGAAACCTCATTAGCACCATCACAAAGTATTACAGGACAAGAAGGGTCAGAAAACCCCTGGTTAAGAATCTATAGAAGAAGACAATGAGGAGGAATCTGCGCAAGAGGTTATCAGAAACTGCACTTCTATTCCAGACACCCAAGACAACAAGCACCCTGAAGGACACACATATTTAAATTGCACACACTTTTGGTCACTTGCTCAGGCACAAATTTTATTCAAGCTGAACAGCGCAGTTGAAAAAGGTACAAACTACCAGTTCTAGTGCAGCCATCCCTGACTGAGGATAAAATAAAAATAGGACAAGGATTTGGTGCCTGGGAGAATAGAAACAGCTGGGAGATGACAGACTAAGCAATTACCCTTACAGATTCATCATTTCAGAGCTCCCCAGTTGAAGGAAGCAGTTGTCAGTGCAAAGCACAGATAATTCCAGTGTCAGCACACGGCTCGCTGAGCACAGGGGTTTGCCAGCAGACTTCCTGCTGGTCACTCTGTGGGTAAATGCTCTTGCAGTCAGACCACGCTGGCTATGCTGTCTGTGCAGTTCCTTGTTCAGATATCCCAACTATGATGCAAGCTGCGGGGGTGAACAACCTCACAGTTCATCCAAACTCTTTAGGTTTTAGTAAACTTTGTATTTCAAAAACATCTCAGTCTTCAGTGCCAGTTTTATTCTAGACACTCCCAGCAGCGGTAGCACAGTGTCAGGAGCCATGGCCATCCTCACACCATCAGGTATCTGCATCATTCCCAGTGGAGCTGGTTTATAGCCAGCCATAGGTTTGCCCTGCTGTGGGAATGTGGGCCTTAGGGCAAAGTACACTGCAAGGACCTGCATTTGCTCCTAAAGTAACTTTGGCTAGCAGCAGCATTCTGCACAGGAGCAGTACATGGACGTGATGCAGGAAACACAGACCCCTCTTTCACTGGCACCTACCTCAGTGAAGAGTCCTGCTGACTTCATTGGTGCTATCCCTGAGCCAAAAGACTACACATGAGGGAAAGACTCAAGGGATCTTTAACTTTCAGCACAGAAGTATTTCCTGCCGTGCACCAGTGCACTATAGCATCACGTTCTTCCTTGCCTGGCCTGCACTTAAGCAGCAGTGAAGAGTTTTCCATCTCCTTTCCCAAAACCTTCTGAAGGTTAATGCCTATTGAGTGCCTTAAAATACTTGGATGAGAAAGGGCTGTACTAGAATACACGGTCATTGAGGCATTTTCATGAGAATTTGTAGCTTAATTTCCTAAAATTAAACTGGCCAAGCTGTGCTCACAGCTTCCTTCCAATGAGGGGATGGGGGCATGTCACAGGACAGCAGCTCACTTCAGCAAACAGATCAGAGACCAAGGTTACACTGTTACTTTTCCCATCTTAATAAATAATCAAGAGCTGTATGCCAAACCACCTTTTTATTGCCACTTACACAGTTTCAAATATTGAACATTCAGATAAGCAACTATCTGTGTTTATGTAGTTTGTTACTAGTTACTTCACCATAACGTGGCAGAATCTCCCTGTCCAAATTCTGTAAGAACCCATCCAGAAGATCCTGAAATATTCACTTTGCATGCTGGCATCTCGCACCAAAAAGAAATTCTTTTTGCGTGAACTATATAGTGGTTGATGAAAAAATTATTACACAATGTAGGCTTTCACAATGTCACATTTTTTTTGCAAAATAATTTGAAGATTCCAAGTAAGACTTCTTTTATTCAAAAAATAAATATATCCTTTCTGAATCAAAGCACTTCATATGACATTAAGTACAAAGAAGAAATGTACTTCTTTGGAAGTTCTGAAATAGACATACAAGAGCTCATGGGAGCAACATTATCCATAACAGTGATAAAAGCTGAAAGCTGATTTTTTACAAATTTATAGCAGAACACGATTTCCTTTTACAATATAGAGCTTCAAACAGCTTTAAGAAAAACACCATTTTTAAAAGTCTGAAAGGCACGTAACTCGACCATAAAACGTACTGGCACATTCACTAATACGTTTTATGTTACATTCCTAAAGAGAATCTGTGGGACTGTAGCCAAGAGAAAGACTGAAAATACCAGCAAGATCCTTTGCAAAGTACTAAAAGAGTGGCAGAGTGTTCCTTTTGGCTCTTGGTAAAATTAATATCCCAAAGCTAGGGAGTCTGAAAAGCTGCATCATTCAGTTGTATTTGGACGAGTCGCTACATAAACAAACACAACAATCAGCAGTACTACGACAGCCAGTGTGGGAAGCACCACGGTGGTGATTTGTTGCCGGGCCTCTTGCATTGCCTGTTTTCTCTCCTTTTTATCTTTGGAGGTCTCTTTTTTAGGTTTTCCTCTAAGCTGCCTCATCCTCCTCTTTGGATCTTTTTATTGCTGAAGTGTGGGACCAAAGGGAGTGGAACAGCAGAAGATTGTCCGAGGTCTTTTGAAACAAGAGGCTGAAGAATTCTTTTCCTTTGAGTGGCTGGCTGTGGAAGAAACTGCAAAAGAAAGAAAACAATTCTCTTGAGCAAGATCTACACATATTCCAGTCGTCAAAAACACTTGCAGCTACACTTGGTAAATCTTTCATCCAATGGAGACTAATGTAACTTCTTTCAAGGAAACAGAATCACAGAGTTCAGCTCATCCCCATAACACTTTCCCCATAAAAACCAGAGCAGTTTGTCATGGTGTGTATCAGTCCAAGAGCCCTGAACTTGTACTCTATTAAGCCAGAAACAAAGCCCAGCACCCTACATTTTATCCTCCAAGGCAAACAAGGTAACACAACTAGAGTCTTAATGAAAATAACCTGAATTAGTCTTGCATCAACACAGGGTTCAAGCTGCCCCTTCTTGAGACAGCAGGAGGCTCCCTGCTCAGGGGCTGTGGCTCCCACAAACCTGCAGAATAAGGAGGGGCAAGCACACACCCTGCCACAAGCATTTATCATCCACAACAGGTAATTACTGGTATAAGGGATACTCCAACAGGAAGAAATGTGGAGAAAAATCTGCTTAATTTAATACTTCTGGTTCTGCTGCCACACAAGAAGTCTAAATCATAATGTGACTCAGTGCTGACACTCTTACTGCAGCTGTCATTGACGACAGAAAAGAAGCCCAAGCGATAATGAGTCTGCTAACAAACCACTGGTGTAGACAAGCAGTCATCAATAAAGTAGAAGGTAGTTGTTCTAAAGCATCTCCTAGACAATTTTTAAATAGAGAAGTATCTACAAAGTGAGAGAAACAAAAACACAGCACGGTATGAAAGCCTCTCTGAAATGAGTCAGTAGGGGCTTAGTATTTCCATACCCAAAGTTTTTTTGCCCCTGATCTGCCTGGAGCTGTGCAATTCCCTGACTGTGCAGTAAGGGTGGATGCCAGCCATTGGTTATATTTTTCTCTACCACATCCCCCAGTTCTGCCCTGGCACAACAGCTGGACACAGGTCACAAGTAAATAAACAGATTTGGAGGGTAATAATTACTGGTATCAAATACTGAGCTGAACTGAAGTAAATGATGAACTCAGGTTCTTCCATCACTCTAATATACTCAGAATAAAATGTATGTAGAAATTAGTGGGTTACTATAACTTCCTCTTTTCTTTCCCTTCTTTATATCCAAATGTAAAGATTTTAATGTGCTGCTGTAGGTAAGGAACATACGTCAACAAGCAAAGGTGCAAAGCTCAGTTCACCCCAGACATGATTTCCTCTTGATGTGTCATCTCTGGTTGATGCTACAAGTTGTCTTATGACTACTTTTTTAAAAAACAAGAAGAGGTTTCACTGAGAGTGTAGTACTTTCTTTTGGTATTACCACTCAATCTCATTTGTCAGCCGGATCACAAAAGCAAAATGCAACTAAAAACACTCACATACAAAACAAAAATCCTCACCTAGAGGTTATGTGCAGCTACAAAGGACTTTTCATCCTTTCTCACATCCTTTCTCTCAACCTGCCTGCTGTGAATCTCATCCAGGCAATTATTTTGCATCATTTAAAGTACAACGTGGAATAACTCTGCTAAACTTGAACTGATGGAAGCGACCAGACTACCATAGCAAGCCTGTTGCACTAGAAAACCAGCAATAAGGCAAAGAATCAATACCTTTAGCTTTATATGGTCCATCCTGGATGCAATCTAAACAAATAAACAAAACCGAAACAATAAAAACTCCACTCCCAACAAAAAAAAGGCTCAAGCATGACATGATCTCAGTGTTCAGCTGGATTCCTCAATTCTGTATCCCCTGCCTATACATCTTTCAGGAGGTTGTTTTTTGACCATAAACTTTGCAAATACAGCTTGCACTCTGAGGCAAACCCTTCATTTTGGTTTTAATAAAGCACAAACGGGGAACTTTGGTGCCTAGGATATTTTTCAAAAGAGAAAACAATAAAATTCATGTCTTAAAAAGAATCAATTCTTTCTACATGGTACAGCATTAGAATCAAAATACATAACAGATTTAGAGATCAGAAGTGGTCAATGAACTTCATGATGGGGAGGTAAACAGGAATTGGATGGAGCAACTACACACAATACCCTGTTCCCATCTTTTAATCAAATGGGCTACGTAATTTCTAAACTTCCATAACTTTCTTCTCAGCAAATCCTCAACTCTCCCTGACTCATGGTGGAGCTTTTGGTATTACATGACCTGCAAGCCATGGGCTTCTGGTTTGGTGTTACCAGTTCTCTAACTCACTCTTGAATTTCCTCCATTTCCATTCCCTCTCCTGCTCTGCTCACAAGATTTATTACCAAACTCTATAAAAACTACTATGGAAAATAAAGTTTTGCATTTGTCCTTTGGGATAATTAGCCAACTAGAGCATTTCGGAGTGTATTTTCGTATTATTTTATATTTCCACTGTTAATGTATGTCTGCAGCTTTTGTATCTGGTTTACCCACAAGACCCAAGAAGTGATGGACAGTAAAAGCCTCTGGGACTTTCTGTGTACCACAGTAACAAAGAGGAGTTGCCATGAAACCAATCTCTCTAACAATAAATGTATGCCTTGCTCTGTGCAGCATCGCTTACTACCCACACATTAAAAACATCAGGATGGCTTTTTTAAGTCTCTTTCGAATGGATATTTCATTCTGAAGCAGAATTATACCAAGTTAATTACACAGACTGGCTAACATCTGACAGCTTAGAACTGAAAACCTTCCCGCAAACGTCAGCACCACTTGAATTGCAAGCTGACACTCTCCAGTTTGGGAATCTGGCATCAGTCTCCAAATACATTTCCAGCAGACTGCGTTACTTGGCTTTGCTACTGGCAGAGATGGACTCACTCAGAAACTGACCCAGAGTTTTCAGAGAAATGAGCCTTAGGGTTCCTCTTAAATGAACCATAAAATGGAAGTGGTGAATCTCTGCAAGTTGCTGCCAGGGTCCTGCTAACACCAGGTGCCCAGATGTGACTGCCAGGATGGACAGTTACCGCAAGAAACAACACTTTCCCACAGGAAAAGTCCAGGATGTTGTCGATTCTGCTATGTTCATCCTGGTATGAAACAGCCCTGAAAAAACAGTGCTCAGATGGATATGAGGAAACTCTACAGCCCACATTGTACAAGCATGTTCAGAGTGCTTTACACTGCCAAGCCTCTTACCAGCCCCCGTGGACTTCACTGGCTACCAAAAATTATGGGAAGCAAGAAACAGATCCATAAAGCACATCAACACAGTGACAGGGACAGGATTACAACATTAGGGTCTTGTTCCCTGTGGTATGCACAGTCCATGAGAACAAATTATCTGACATTACTGAGCTATATCCTCCCCCAGTCAGCAACCACCCTGCTTGTGCTCTGGGAATGCTGAATGCCAGTGAAGAGAGGAAGTAAGTAATACAGCACTGGGATGGGTGTAATTAACAGTCTCATTAGCACTGCTCAATTAAACCATTGCAGAGCAGCCACTATCAAAAGGTCAATGAGAAGGTGATGTCCCACAGGTTCTTCAGTCTTCTGCAAACTCGAACTTTGGACCAGCTGCAGAAAAACTGGAAGCTCACCTTTCCTCCTCAGACAGAAGCTGAGTCTCCTTCCCATACCAGTCCCCTGAATAGAGGAGGGCTCACTGCCAGAGGCTGCACACATCCCATCCCCCTAAGGCTACTTCCCATGGGTATTAACTGCTCAACGGGCCCAAACATCTGCCAAGGGGGAAAGCGATCACCAAACTGGTTCAACAACTGCCTTAACTGGAAAGCCAGCAACTTCCTCAGCTGGGACACAAGCAAAACACCAACAGAAGGGATTAACATTCTAGCAAAGTGACATACCTGTAGTCCACAACACTATGACAGCAGCCTGGGACTAGCCAGACATGGTAATTTCACCTTTTATCAATTTTGAAATTTAAAATTCGATAATAAAATTACATGGGGTGATGAAGTTATTTTTAAATTCACTATAGGAAAGTTTCCCCAAAAAGCAGAAACCTGCTGGCTAGAAAGAAACAATCTTGATTGCCAATTCAAGAAAATGAGTGTTGACTTGGTAAAGTTGTTTGATATGCCCATCTCACAAAGCCTACCCCAGCTTGATACTGAAGAGCTAAGGTTTCCAGGACAAAAAAAACAGTAAAAAAATTCAGGCTACTGAGGAGAAACACCGTTCTTCAACATAGTACAAATTCACTAATTTAGTATTCTGAGTTGCCTGCTAGAGCAATTACATTCCCCTTTGCCCATCATCAACTTGTTTTTTTATATACAAAAGTGTTCTTCGTTCTGTCTTCTGGGTTAAGTTACTATGAACTGTTTCTGCAGAGCTAATATAAAAACATAAAAACATGAATTGGTGGACCGAGTCACTGAAGTCACTCATACCAATGCTGAAGTATTTGCCAGCATCTTAGACCAAGTCAATTGTGGCTAAGCAGGGATAATTTTATACCAAAAGGCTGTAGTGGAACTGGTAGGGACTGATATCCTTCAAAATATACCAACAATCTTCCAACCACACCTGTGCCAGTCTGTTATCTCTTTTTTTTGGTAAAATTAACTTCAGTAGCCTGCAGTTAAAAGCTCCTCACACCACACAAGGCTATTCCTTCGAGTCTTGAATGGCAGTCTTGATTCAGGATACACCAGTGCTCACGGAGCATGGTATTGCAAATTTGCACATCCTTCCACATGCAACATGTACACAAAAGATTTTGTTTATCTGCACTTAGGGTAATTGCATGTCTCAATGTCTAAAGAACTTATTATCACCAGCCTTACAGCATGAATGTATTAACCATGTTCAACTGACTAATTTTCCTCCAAAATTACAAGTGTATGCAAGCAAATTTAACTCAACCTGGCTTCATGATCCTGCTACCGACACTGCAACACGCCTGGAACACCAAAACAACTTGAAATTCAAACAAATTATCTGACAGGAATTAACTTTTATAATTTAAATTTTCCCTTAGGGGTATGGATGTTACTGAGACATTAAAAATAAAATCAAACAAGAAACC